TCTGGGGGGACCCCAGACCCCCTTAAAGATGGCCCTTCAGCCGCACCGCTCCGCGGAAGCAGCCTCCGGCCCTGTGTCAGCAGTGTGGGATGGAGAATGTTATAGCATGATACCAAGAGTAGATAAACAAGAGTGTGCAACTCCGGATCTCTCCTGCACAATCTCCCACGGCGGAATTTTTTGTTTACGTCACCTTTTTTCAGAGAAACGCGGATTCTGCCGCAGAGCAGTGTGAGAGCACGTGCTGGGCACCGACCTTGTAGTGTAAAGCCCAGCCAAGTGCACGAGGGAAAACTCTCCAAAAGGCTCGCAGCGCGTGCGTCGTCGAAAAGATTACGTCAACAAAAAATTCCGCCGTGGGCCAACCCATCCGCGAGTTGCACACTCTTGTTTATCTACTCTTGATGATACAGATAGTCGTGTAACTGCTCAACACCCTGGCCCCGTGCTTTCACAAGCAACACCAAAGCTGCTTTGTGTAAGTGTGTTTTTCAATCTCATAAGATTTATTCATGATATTTGCGAGTCATTGCCACCCTATGGCTATGGAAATGTATGAGCACACTGTATGCGCGGTGGGTGCGCGCGTGTGTGTGTGTTTGCATAGACCTGCATGTTTGTGCATGTGTGTACCATACGCATGTATGAGCATGCACATGCATATGCGCTCATGTGGACGTGCCCTTGCACATATACTATACACACGTGCATGACCGCTCCAAGCGCATGTTGGTGTGACATGTGTATGCGGGCATCTCCACTTACAGTAGAGTCGCGCGCTGAAGAACTTGGACAGCCCAAGAACGTCCAGCCTGAAATTCTAAGAACGCCACAGCCTTAAGCTAAGGACGGCGGTGTTGCAGCTTGTGGGATACATATCATCCAGTACGGATTGTTTCTAAGAACGTGCTATAAGAACGCAGCCAGATTGCTGAAAAAATTAATAAGAACGTCCCAGGCTAACCCCTTGGAAACAACGTTCTTGGGCGCGCGACTCTACTGTATGCACATGAGTGTGGGTGGGTACGTACTCTACTGTATGCACATGAGTGTGGGTGGGTACGTACACATGAGTGTGGGTGGGTACGTACACATGAGTGTGGGTGGGTACGTACACATGAGTGTGGGTGGGTACGTACACGTGCGTGAATCTATGTGTGTACGCGCGCGTTTGTGCTACAGGTGGAATCCTGATAATTCGAATATGGCTTAATTCGAACATACCGCTTAATAAGAAGTTTTTCCAGGACCGATTTCTATCAATACGATTCCCACATAAAAATTCTGATAATTCGAACCTCGAATTGGACATGTACGGTTAATTAGAAGTTCCACGGATTCCACTTTAATACATAGAAAATGTGTGGGATTTGTGCTAATAATTCGAAGTTAGCAAAGTGTAATTCGAAGTTCACTGTGACTGTACTGCCAACTGGTCAGTTCAGTTTGCAGGAGCAGGCTATGCCGGTCAGCTCAGTGTCCGAAACATTTGTGTCTGAGGTCCATAGCGCAACTCTGCGTGACCAACAGCCAGTGCATGCCGGAGTATGTGGTGTGATGTGTGTGCGGAAAAAATATAAAAAAGACCAAAAAGTAGGGATTCACTGGCCAGAAAAAGCCACTTCATAGCTGTGTGGTGTAGACCAGGCTGAATAGTGGCGGTCAATTCTTCAGCCTTGCAAGCTGTTGAATGGTGCAATCCCAGCACAAGCTGCTATGGCTTCTGCTGTAGCATCGCTATCATCGCCTCCGGCAATGGGCGTCCAATGGTCCAATGGTCCAATGGTGGTGGTGGTGGTGGTGGTGGTGTGTGTGTGTGTGTGTGTGTGTGTGTGTGTGTGTGTGTGTGTGTGTGTGTGTGTGTGTGTGTGTGTGTGTGTGTGTGCGTGTGTACAGATTCCCAGTTTGCTGACGACTCTTGCCTATTCGCTACGACTCGGTCTGGAGCGGGGGCAGCATTGTGCTGTCTTCACGAGGTAGCGTCGGGATTCGGCTTGACCATCAGTGCAACGAAGACACAGTTTGTAGTTGTTGGCCCCGACATCACGCCTACTGACCGCGCTCCCCTCCAACTTGGTCAAGCGGAGGTGGAATGCGTGCTGCATTTCAAGTACCTCGGTTCTGTAGTGGACAGCGGTTGCCGTTCGTCCCGGGACATCGCCGCAAGTATTGCCCAAGCCTCCGGGGCTTGCGGTGCTCTTCGGAAGTCTGTATTCTCCAATCCACATCTGCTGATGCACACCAAGCGGTGCGTATTCAATGCTTGCGTTCTGTCCCTGCTGTTGTATGGCTCTGAGTGCTGGACGCCCCTTCGACATGACCTGCAGAAGCTCTCAACCTTCAGCATGAGGTGCATCCGATCCATCCTCGGGGTCTCTCAAAGCTGGATGTGGGACGAACACATCACCAACGAAGAGCTGCTGGTGCGCTGGGGAGACTCCGAGACGATTAAAGACAAGATTGCAAATCGGCGGTTGGAGTGGTTGGGGCATGTGGCGCGGATGCCGGACAATCGCATCCCGAAACAGGTACTGTTTGGCTCCTTCTTGCAGCGTCGCCCAGCACATGGCCCACGCCGCAGATGGAAGGACTGTGCTGTCCGGGATCTACGTGCCCGTGGTGTGCAGGCATCATGGTATGGTGTTGCATGTGAGTCTCGCGCGGAGTGGCGCAGCACCTTCCAACAGCCTGACAATGCGCCTGGGCCTCCGCCCCGAGTGGTATGTACGGTATTGTAACGGAATTACAGCCATTCCGTTCCCCGGGACGCAGGACACAAAGGACAAGACTGGTTTGTTACATTATTTATATTGACATTACGGAAATGGAGACAACACTCAAGTCAAAGGAACGAACAAGTGCAAGGAGACTGACAAAAGGACTCTCGACTACAACATCGTGCATGCTCATATCACACATGCACGCGACTAGACGAGACAGTTTGGGAAATGCCATCACACAGGAAAACAACACATCATTTCACAACAGTATGCGGACGGGATTTTGCACGGAAAGGAGACATGGCTTGGCATAAGTGTCTGGAGGAGCGTGCGCGGCCTGTGTCTGAGCAGCGGGGCGCCAGACAGTGCAGGCGGTGTGGGCGGTGGCTGAGAAGCCGCGGTGGCTTGGTCCGGCATGTGTGTGCCTCAACGGTGGATGCCACAGTGCCACCTGGAGCTACCGGAACATCGGCACCGGCGGAGGGATGTTGTGCCGCGCATTGTGACAGGTGTGGTCGCTGCTTTCGCGGTGTCCGGGGACGGGGCAGGCATAGCTGTTCAAGGGTGGCGCATAGACCAACAGCAGAGGAGCGCTCAGCCTTCCAGCACGTGTGCATATGCGGCAAGCGGATGCGACTACCCGTGCACCTGGAGCGTCATCGGGCGTCGTGTCCTCTCTCTCTCTCTTCTCAAGTTTCCCAGTGATGGGATCACGTGACCCTTTTGCGGCAGTGACTCTACAGGACAGGACAGGTGTGTGTGTGTGTGTGTGTGTGTGTGTGTGTGTGTGTGTGTGTGTGTGCGTGTGTGTGTATGTGTGTGTGTGTGCGTGTGTATGTGTATGTGTGTGTGTATGTATGTGTGTGTGTGTGTATGTGTGTGTGTGTGTGTGTGTGTATGTGTGTGTATGTGTGTGTGTGTGCGTGCGTGCGTGCGTGTGTGTGTGTGTGTGTGTGTGTGTGTATGTGTATGTGTGTGTGTATGTGTGTGTGTGTGTATGTGTATGTGTGTGTGTGCGTGTATTGGCGTGGGCCTGCGTTTTGTAGTGTGTTCAATGATGATTGCCGCTACTTTTATCCCATTATTGCGGTGCTATAACTGTTTTGTGTTACATATGTGTGTGTGTGTGTGTGTGTGTGTGTGTGTGTGTGTGTATGTGTGCACGCATGTGTGTGCCAATGGTGTGCATTTTTGTACTGGGTGAACACTCTGATCCCTAAACCGCGATACCTGAGCTCCCAAGCTACAGCCTCACATCGATTTATAGTTCATCGTTGGGAATGAGTTCGCTGCTCACGATGCTGTTGCGGATGTTGCCGCCCCAGCTGAAATTTTCGAAGCCGGTAGAACAGCGTTCTTAAACTTGCCTCTACCATCTACCTGTATCCTGTCCCCTTGGAAAAACGCGATTCCGCGGCTGCGGCAAATTTCGCAGAAGTTGCCATCATCCGCGGAAATCACGGAATCCACACTTTTGTCCGCGGAATCTGAATTTTTTAGGGTAAATTACTAAAATTACTACTCAGAAAGCAGCAGAAAAACTACTTTGCGATCTGTTTGAGCACATTTCTGTTGCCAGTGCAGGTCTCTCCAAGATTCTTCACTCTTATTCAGTTCGTGACTGCAAAGGATAGTATGAAAAGTGCTCCTTCATGCGACTAGTTGTCATATCCTCTACGAGGAGGGTGAAAAACTTGTAGAAAGTGCCGCAGATTTTGGATTTTACAGCAGAAAATGCCGCAGAAACCCCCCCCCCCCCCCTTTTCTCCGCGGAATTTGCCGCAGAATTTTGAATTCTTGGCCGCGTTTTTCCAAAGGGACAGTGTATCGGTAGAGTGACTCTACTCTACTCTACCAGGTAGCTAAAACGAATGCAGCCTATGTCTTCAATACTAAAAAAATCTGCATCAGTGACGGGTAGATCTGAAACATGGCAGTTTTGAAGTCAATCGAACCTCAGAGCATGAACCATGCATACCCCTGGCAACTGCATACTCACAGCAGAAAACTGATTTAAACTTTCAACAAAAAGGGGGGCTTTCAGTACTTTTTGGACTCAACATCCCTAACGAGTTATCTATAATGACTATAACGTAATTACTTGTACTTGAATTACCGAGTAATTGGTATAATCGTTTCAGCCCTAGTATTTATTCGTGCAGTGTCAAATGATGGAAACAATGTGCAGTAAAACGATGGAAGAAGGAACAAATAGTGAAGAACGACACGAATAAATACGGTATACATGTCGATTCAGCTCGTCTTATTAGGTCAGAATGATTCACTTTTGCTGCATCATACGCAGCGCATTCTTGAAAACTTCGAAACAGCAGTGCTTTTTCAAAGCTGAAGACCATTGGAAAACAGACAAAGACAAAATCCAGCAAGGTTTGAACAAAGAGGATATGGCACACTGCGCATCTTAGAACTGTGACATCATCAATGGTTCAAAAAACTATTTAAAAAATCTCAATATCAAAGTCTACCAAAAGCTAGACACACAACATGGCCAGAGGAAGATTAGCAGAGAATGCACGCACAGACACAGACACACACGATCTGCTGGAAAGGAAACATGCACAGCGTGAAAAGGAGTAGAGGAGATGGGACGAATTCTCAACGGAAACATTGCTTATATCAGCAAATACAGCAGGCCGGTTGAAGCAACCCGCACTTGGCACAAGAGAACCAGCCTCATGGCGAAAAAAATTGTTGCAGAAGGAATTGTAGATTAATCAGCCAGAAAGCAGTTGGTACAGGCGTGCCAGATAAAAACGAACACAGCTATACAGTGGAGAGTGAGCACAAGAAAAGCTCACACGAGCAGACATGGGAAAAACAAATCAACAAGAGACACACACACACACGTAGAGGGTAAAACGTACATACGTACATACGGCAATACACTTTGCTCGATTTCACAGGCGACGTAGCTTACACTCTTGACTCCTGTGTGGCCAACGCAAATCAACAGGAGCAACAGATAACGCGCTATACTGCCAGTGCCTGGTTTGCGGAGCTGATAATTCTTGAGCGCCACGACGGAAAGTCAGGAAGCGGCTGGTAGCAAAAGAATGGCACGCCTGTACTCCCAAAGCCATCGTCATCACCTTCGCCTTGTGCCCGACTCCTCTTGCTTGGCTGATCTGCAGCTGCGAGATGCAAACAAGTAAGAGTGCAAATAGATAGGATGCTCAGTTCCAGCTGAAAGCAAGGCCCTTGAAGGGCAAAACAGCAATATATCCGATACCATTCACAGTCAGTGCTAACCAAATCCAGAGTTTCACCGTCTCTTTTGAATGAATGAAGCTTGTTGCTTCTACACGGACCACAGGCTTCCTGCCGAACTTGGCACTTGACTGACTCGCGACTGCCATCCGAAGCACACGAGGAGCTCATCGCCCCTTCCACTCGACCAACCTGCAAGAAAGCACCACCCCTGCTCAATACACAGTGTTTCAGGGAATTCACCGTTCATCAGTTACGCTCCATTTCCAGTGCGATTCCTTAGCGTGAGTCAGAGCCGCTCATGGAGTGGTGCTAAACAGACGCTGAAAGCAAGTAGCTATTCACAGCGCTGTCACCTCCAACCAACTAGTCGCACACGTACGAGCAACCAACTTCATTTACAAATACCGCCGAAGTCGTTACTTCTAAGATCGTATTGTTGTCCCTCATGCGGACGTGCGACTAGTTGGTTGGAGGTGACAGCGCTGTGAATAGCTACTGGCTCTCAACGTCTGTTTAGCACAACTCCATGAGCGACTCTGACTCACGCTATAACTAGCTATAACTAACTACTGCCTGGGGCCTCACAAGGTGTTAATCGCGCTGGAAATGGAGCATCTCTGTAAGTTTGTATCCCTAGTGATGGTTTGGTCTGGAGTGCACTATATAAGTGGTGCTCTTCAGGCACAATCTTCCTCAGCCTACTCAAGCTCAACTGACGAGGGGTTAATTCCCCGAAACACTGTGTATTGAGCAGGGGGTGGTGCATTCTTGCAGGTTTGCCAAGTGGAAGGTGTGAGAAGCTCCTCGTGTGCTCCGGATGGCCGTAGTGAGTAAGCCGAGTGTGAAGTTCGCTAGGAAGCCTATATTCCACATAGGAGCCACCAACTTCAGTTATGAATAGTAGTACCGCCAAAGTCGCTACTTCTAAGTTCTTTGAACTAAGTCAGCACTGCAACGGAATCACGGTCATTCCGTACCTCGGGACGCCGGGCACAAAGGACAAGTACGAGGTGAATTGCTATTTCTGGACATTTCGAGTAAAGTAATGTTTCATCGCGTGTAGAGTCAAGTGAGTCAGGTTGATGAAGTTTTTCTTGTTGTAGTTGACAGCTTGGCTGTTGTAGTTTCTCCTCGTGTCGGTGCCTTGTTGATAGCCTTTTCTTGGGAGGCATTTCAACGAGTTTTGTGGTACTATGTCGCATGAGAATTTTGAATTTTGAGTAAAATAAGAAGTAATGGACGAATCGTTGGCTTCCCCATGTGCACTCCACTTCAGACGCTGTATAGTCTTGGACCTGTTGGCTGGAAGTGTGAAGAGGCCAACTGCAGTCCACCAATAGAAAAAATAAACAAAAATGGTGCAGTATAGGATGCCTATTGACGCTATTTTACTTTCATGTCCAGAATTCCATACACTGAAATTTAGGCCAAAAAATTGGCCTGTCGAAAACATCCTGCTATAAAGTCTCTGGGATCACAGCATGAGCAATTGTCACATATTTGGAAAGATGAAGGATTAGGCCATACAATAGATACAAAAAGATATGAAAAATGTTTAACACACAGCCAGTGGGCCTCTATTTTATTTTCATGTCCAGAAATTGCTATTCACCTCGTACTCGTTTGTTTACAACAGTTATATGGACCTTGAGAACATCCATGCCATCACCCAGTCACGACAAGACTGGAAAGACCTACGCAGCAATGTGATAAAGGCGTACATCAATGCATAATGCCAAGAGTCCATAACCCCAAGAGTGTGCAACTGGGGTCTGGCTGCTGTAGCCTTCGTGTAGGCCCACTGCGCGGCGGAATTCCATTACGTCATGCTGCTGAGGCACAGAGGACAAAAACCTCCGCATTCCTTGGTGCTTGGAATCAGGGAGTAGTACAAGCGCAACGAAGGTGTACGTCATTTTTGACATAATATTGGAATTCCGCCTCGCGGATCTCCATGTACAGAGTTGCACACTCTTGGGGTTATGGACTCTTGATGGTGCTGCTTTCACCCGTAGCAGCTGCATGGCTGTACCATAACATAACTCATTGACCTTCATATTCCGTGAAAATATTATCATGTAAAAGAATAGGAATGTAAACAACATACCTGTGAAAATATAACCTTTCATGCTACTAACTCAACCTGTGACTACAATAATCATGAAATCAACCCCAGATCATTTCTTGCAGTTTACTATCCTACAGTTTGTGTTCCTCAACACAACTGGCCCAGCTCTCTTTTTCATTTTCTTTTTCAAAAATATCCTCAACCTTTGTTCTATCCTAGATCCTATAAAGCATTCATCGTTTCGTCACTTCATCATGGAGCAGCTTATGCGAAAGTTAGCTAAGCTTGCTTGGCGATGCCGACGCGGAAAAGCCTATAATAATAAATAATAATAATATAATTTGAACTAGGACATGACGAGAAAACAAGGACAACCACTTCCAGGACGAACAAGAAGACTGAAAAGAGAAGACTGGATACTCACAGATCACACATGCTCATTTCACACATGCACGCGAGACATGAGACAGTTTGGGGAACATCATCATCCAGGAAACCAATTCCACAACGACGATAACCAAACAATACAGCGAGCGAGACTACAGCAACATGTAAGACAAAGAACGGCACACATTCGGCGATGGCAGCCACATCCGCTGTCATCTGGCGAGCCACGGCCACACTCTCTGCACAATCCCGCCGTCTCCGGCCCCAGCTCATGCCACTGTCAAACACCTCTCCTGTCTCCTTTCAAACGCCTCCGTCCAGTCTCCAACCAGCTCCTTCTCTCTCTATCTCCTTTTGCTGACAGCTTCTCACGCTCAATGGAGACATTAATGACGACAAAGACGACAACAAGCTGGCTCATCTCCTGTGTTTCGGGTTTCAGCACCACGGTGTGACGGAATCACGGCCATTCCGTGCCCCGGGACGCAGGACACAAAGAACAACAAGCAGTGGCTTGCTTACAATAGTTATTATCTACGACATGACGAGAAAAACAGGGACAACTCCCACGGGACGAACAAGAATACTGAAAAGACGAGACTGAAGACTCACGAATCGCGCACGCTCATATCACACATGCACACGAGACAAGAGACAGTTTGGAGAATGTCGTCACACAAGAAAACACTGCTAGTGCATTGTTCTACAGCAGCACAAACCAACATGATACACAAGGATCCTGGGTTATCTCGCCGGGATTCCAGCCGATATCATAGACCCACATGATTCAAACCTATTGGGAAACAGGAACAGACATGGATGGCCATGCATGCCTTTTTTCCGCATATCGTGAAGTGGACGGATTCAACAAGAGTGGAACAACAGCAGCAAGGACGTATTCGACTACAGTTTCAGTCAAGACTCACCAGAGCTGTCGTCCACCGAATCCAAGAAAGCATAGCCATGCGGTCGCTTTGTCTGCTTTGCCCTGTGACCTTCTGCATCAAAAGATTCAAAACACACAAACACACACACAACAGCACTATAGCACTGCACTGTCCGCATCGCAAATTTGCCACAAGTGTCCGAAGGCACAACTGAAACAGTGCTCGGCGAGGCGGCAGAGCAGCTCTCTAGTGCCAGGGCTGGTCTGCCCTCCACCTCCCTTCTCTATTCTTCACTTATCTCAGGGGTGAGGTGGCCAGGCAATTGACAGGTATGCAACAGGCCAGATCACAAGGTGCATGCATGTGTACATGCCCGCTTACCTGCAACGACAGGTCCTGCTATTGCCATGAGCGCCTCGCAGCGCTTATCCAGTTCTGTAGAAGTGCACCGCGTCTCTTCTCGCAACTTCCGCTTATCAACCTTGAACTTCAGTAATCTGTCCAGGTACACAGGAACACACATGTACACGGTCAAGACAGAACTAAATGCGCACGCATGAACAGTGAACACATGGGGTTGAGGCTTCGTTCACAACGCTGAATGGTATTGCAAAGCAACACTACTACACTAGTAGTATCAAGCTGATCTGTTCTCTGTATGGCAATGCAGAGAAAGAAGAGTGTTCTGCGCAATATCTTATAGAGGCGCACACATACCATCACGGCAAAATTATACAGTACAGCTCAATGAAATCTGATCGAGTCACTCAAGTACGCGCCGGGCGTTGCGCAGCCCTAGACCTGCGAACATCGGGCTGCGAAAGGGTGCAAGGCGAAACTTGACTCACGTGAACAGATCTCTTTAAGCAGCACTGTATGCATCCATTCTGTGTACTGACTAGATCTGTCCCTCAATAATTTCCCTGTGGTAATATGTGCACTCTATGAATATGAACACGTGGGCCACATTCAATTGAGTACTTTGAGAACTACCCTCCAGGTAACACTACATACATCGCAACACTGCCATATCCTTCGTGAAGGGTCTGGCTTTGCATTGCACACAGATAGATAGAGATAGACAGACAGCTTACGACCACCTCACTAAACCGACTACTTCTATCTGGTCTCCAAATGTCCTGCATTAGCGCGAATACAGGCTTGTCATTTTCATAAATCATACCACTTTGCCGAGTCCGAAAGACGGTGAGAATGTACATACATGCACGTAGGTGGGGCTTGCCCATTTTGAGAGATTAGCTGTAATAAGTTATCCTGAGACGGATTCAAGCGACTGCAGGCCCTTCCTTACTTGCATACGACAGCAATGGCGGAGCCAACAAAAGCAGGGGAGGTGAGGTCAATACTATCCCGACTGGCACCAGCGACAGTCTGGGCCAAAGAGCTACGATACCTGCACAAGGATCACAAGTACACAGATATAGAACACTTCAAGACCTAGTACATGTAGGAGTGGTACTTTCAACTACATGTTCATTCAGAGGTCTCAGAAAAGCAGGCCAGCGTGCACACACCACAGATGCTGGCTCCTGCAGATATAGCTTGTTTCAATAAAAAAAATGAACTTGGGAGAAGCTGGCTGCTCCCAACGTTGGAGCTCGCACTTCCCACCGACTGACATTTGACTGGCTCGTAACTACCCTCTGGAGCACACAAGAAGCACACCGAACCTTCCACTTGGCAAAACTGCAAGAAAGAAACACTCCCTGTTAAAAACTCAATGTTGTATGAGGAATTCACCCCTTATCAACTGACCTCTAGAAGGCTAATGAAATTCGTGCTCCGAGAGCATAGCATTGTATAAAACTCTCCCAGAGCAAACGCCACTAGGGGTTCAACCTACCGCTCAAGCACTGCTTCTGCCATTGGTGCCACATCTGAACAGCCCAGGCGAATGGCTACTTCCGTGACACTGCAACCGGCACGCTGGCCCATGATCATCTTCTCCAGGGTCTGCTGGGCACGGTTGAAGTTCTTCTTGCTCTCGCCAGATAGGCGAACTACAGATGCCTACAAAGCACAAAGCACAGACAGACTTGGAGTTCGCACACTGGGGTCACCAGAACCCACACAGAACAAAGAAGATCAAAGGGGAACTTGCTTGCGGCATTTCATACCAGACTTGAGTCAATCGCGATTGCATTTCTATTTTCTAATATGGAAAGTTTGAATCTGCTTTGTTTGCTGAGCTTTGCTCTCTACTTAAGGTCCGGAAGTCGCGGATGACACCATACCACTCTGCTGGTGATGGTCCGGTTGAGGGTATGAACCGCACACTGCTCACCACTCTACGGCTCTGTGCTAGTGACCACCCTGAGTCCTGGGACATGTACGTTCCATTGTCACTGCTAGCATACCGTACCGCAGTTCAGAAATTGACGTCTGAGACGCCAGCTTGTCTGATGTTTGGGCGTGACCTTCGGTTGCCAGCCGATGTGGTCTATGGTTTACCGCCTCAGTATTAGTCCAAGTGTTGGCAAGAGTACTAGTATGTCCGTACCATTGAGTCTGAGTTACACCGTACATGTGCCCGTGATCGTGAGGCCGACTCTATTGCTCATCGTCGAATGAAAGACTATTACGACCGCCGCCGCGTCCACGGTCCGCCGCTACAGCCCGGTCAGTATGTGTGGTTGCTAGACACTGTCGTGAAGCCCGGCGAAAGCCACAAGCTCCGCAAGTCGTGGGCTGGCCCGATGTCGTCCGCTCCCTGAATGGTCCTGCGGTAGAAAAGGTGCTTGGGGGCTCAGATTAGAATCAGTTTACTTCAGGCAGTTTACCCTGAGGAAGCATCTCGGCTTGACTGTAAGTTTTCGAAGGATTCATCGGCACGACTCATCGCACTGCACCAAAAATGACTAAGTGAAGGAATTTCGCCGAGTGGGCTTCTATACAGGGACTGATTAGAAGTTGCATACTCTCGGGGGGGGGGGGGGGGGGGGGTTATGGACTCTTGGTATGATGAACATGATTGTATTCATTCATTTGAACTCTGGTGGTTCTCAAATGTGGGGGCTGGGGATCAAAAGTTCTATTTTGGCTTGGCTTACTTCTATCATTATGATTATTTAAATGTCGCTTATTAATTTCTCAATGCGTAGCATAATAAGTCATTGGCATTTCTGCGCTCACCGGATTGTATGGCTGTTTGCACGCTTTGCAGGCCAACTCAGCGCAAATCAGCATTTTGGCAGACGCATTCAGCGTGATAGCAGATATAGATGACCGCCGCAGCTCTAATCTCCTCTGGTATTCCTGGGCGACGTCTCCCAGCTCCCTGGTGGGATTGCTAACGCCTATTCTGCGGAAGATATTGATCCAATCCATTGGTTTGAAGTGAAGGAATCCCGTGTAACTACAAAGCTACAAATAATTCTCAGGGTCTAACTCTGATAGGCCGGGGAGAAGTAGACAGCCAACACTGAAAATCAGGGTTTCAGTTTGTGCGCTGTGTAGTGCGCGCGTTCTCCTACAGTGGACCTACACACTCCTTTTTCCAGTGCAGAGCGCAAACAGTTGGATAAACTCCTAGCAGGGCGAATGCAGATTGTTGAGTGAAAGAAACAAGACGATATGGCTGAAGGAGTTTGTTCAATACACTTTCAAACGAGACAGGGCACGTTTTCAATCAACCGAACGAGCTCGCGAGGCTGGATATGGATCCAGTCGATCGCGCGTGGGGAGCGTACAACAAAGCGCGCGCTTGTTTTCAAAAGCTACCGCGCACGTGCACCGATCGTCAGTACGACAGCATGATGGTTTTTTGCGATCTTGCTTGTCGATAGCTAGCTAGCTAGCTACTTAGCTAGCCCCAGTCTTGTTGACCTTGTTTACGTTTACCGGTTTGGGAGGCAGGTCAGCAGTTCGGTGCTTGCAAGTACTAGGACTAGTTACTTACTTACTAGTAGTTGGAGTGAGAGTCCACCACCATCACGCATTCATGCTTATGCGGGTGTGCAGAGAATGGATCATTCGTTCGTTTTCAGAATCGTCCTACTTCTTGCTCTCTCCAGCTCGATCTGGTGCGGCCATAGCCGAATCGAGAAGTGGGCGCAGTCCAGAAATGCGGCCACCAGTGCTGGGGTGGAGATAGCGCACCTGCCCGATTTCGGATGGGGAATACGAGCCACGACTGACTTGAACGCTGGAACAGTACTGACCAGTACGCCTCTGACGGCAGTTCTCAGCCTAGAGCATGCATACCTGTTTCCGGATTTCGAGCCTATAATCGAAGGCAGGCTAAACGGTCTAGGCGATACAGATCTCACAGCGTTATTCTTAGCATTCCTTCATCTGCATTATTCCCATCAGGAAAACGTTAGCAGTGGAGATTCTGTAGCGAGCACAACTCTGCACAACGTTGATCCGCTGCTAGATTGGTCCGGATATTTGAACTCATTGCCACGAGACGTGGGCCTGCCAGTACAATACACCGATGATCTGTTTGAGGACATGCGAGGTTCCGCTCTGGTAGGTCTCTGCCAGCGGCGAAACAAGGCCGTGACGAAATCATACCGCTACATACAGAAGACACTGTCAGCAGAGCACCCGGGCGCAATGGCGGGACTGAGCGAGGCACTGTTTAGATGGGGTCTGGCGATTGTGTGGAGTCGGACGCACCGCGTGCGTGCAAGGGACCCGAAAGGGCAGTGGCAGGTTGCTGCAGTTCTTGTGCCGCTCGCCGATATCTTCAATATGGCTGACTCGGAGGAGCGTGCCAACGTCGAATGTGCCACCAACGATGACTCGACCCATTTTAACTGCTCCCTAACGCAGCCGACCAAGGCCGGAGAACAGCTGTTTGTGCTCTACAGCTCGCCGGCACACAGGCACAATGGCCGTCTGCTCATGGACTATGGGTTTTCCCTGAGGCGTAACCCGTGGAATCAGCTCACCTTCATTCTTCCAACAGATGTGCCACAGCATGTGTCTGACTATACCCAGAAGCAATCTATCTGGAAATCAATGGAGCCTTGGGGGACGGGTGTGACCAACATTAAGCCTCTGAGTGACGACGAGATTGTGTCCTTTGAGCTGCTGGCAATTGGGCGACTCTTCAATCTGAACAAGGACACCGTTCAGTCTGTGCAAGACATGAAACCAAGGGACAGATACGCGTCCCTATTGAAACCCGCGGCTTCTCCTGCTGTCGAAAATGCCGCAGTTCGCTGGGCTAAGAAGTTGTTAGAAAAGGCACGGCGTGACTATCGAACTACGTTAGTCGAGGACGAGCACTTGCTGGACTCCCCACATATTTCTGCATCAAAGCGCAACGTGATTATCCTGCGTGCCGGCGAGAAAGAGATCATTGACCGACTTCTGCAGGCATTGGAGCACTATCAACAGGTGCTGGCCGCCAAGAAGAAGAAGCGGGCAAAGAAACGGCGAGACGAGCTGTGATCTCATGTTGACTGCATCGCCGTGCGGCCATGCAGCTGCGGCTCACGGGCCAGAACTGAACACGCTGGTCTAGGCCAGTGGCACTGGACGCTATAGCATGATCGTCGAGTGATCATGTGACATCACGCTATCATAGTGAAATGGAAATGCTCAAGTGCACAGCTAAAGCAGCAACGGATCCAATCCTGCTAGGTATGTGCACACCAGCCTGTGAGATGTATGCGTTGCCAGTTACAACTCTGGCAGCACGCACCCATCCCGGCACGCATACAGATTGGATACAGATTGGATGAACAATGCAACCATGATTCTATCCTGTGCCGTCGACTGGGGTTATTCAGTGCCACCTTTGCTTTGGAAGGCTCAAGCCGGAAGTCGTGTTCTTCACTCTAGAAAACTGAGGGCAAAGTTGGCACTTCCGCGCTACTGCAACCAGAAAGTCAAACCTCAGGTTGCACTGTGGACGTATACAGTGTCCAGGATTGAATCACTCACTCACCGGTTGTAGCGAGTGATAATGGGACTTCCATCAATCATGACAAGTTAGACCTGCTCCTGGTCATGATGTTGTGGGTCTCTCTTCATCACATTGACTTGTTTACTACTTACATGTACTTGAAATTTCTAGCGGATAACTGATAGCCCTGTGCTGTGTGCATTGTCAAAATAATAATTATAACTTCACGACAACAACCTCCACGACCGACAACAAGAATAAAAGAGAATAAAAGATTTCAAACAACAGCAACAACAACATAATTTATACGACACTACAATGATTATCCGATATTGCCGGAACTACAGTACCTTTCGTGTGTGAGTGGTGTATGTGTGTGTGTGTGTGTGTGTGTGTGTGTGTGTGTGTGTGTGTGTGTGTGCGCGTGCGTGCGCAGTGCATTGTGTGGTGTGTGCGTACTTCAATTGTGTGTGGGGTGGGGGTCATCATACTTGCAAGTAACTGTTGCTTGTACTTGCAAGCTGTTGAATGGTGTGATCCCAGCAGAAGTAACTACAGTCCGTATCGCCTATAAGGTTGGCGGCTATAGTAATATACCGGATATAGTGATCAATTTCTCAAATTCATTTCATTTGCCATAACTAAGTATACACAGTTATCGCGTATAGTAATAATCGTCTATAGTAATATACCGCCTATAGTGATCAAATTCATATTTCAAAAGACCTTTATTACATTATTTTTGCATCGGTTATCATGGTTATAGTGATTGATGTAAAATCAAGCGATGTTAGAGGAGAACAGGGTGTTACTTCTTCGTGAAGAACTTGTCCAGTGAGTGTTGTTTGGTGAGTTTTGCTCGTACAAGTTGCCAAAATATGCCTCCATCGTGAGGGAATGCTGATTTTCTGTGTCAGGAGCTACAGCCAGCTACATGACATTGTACATGTGTGTAGTGCGTATGTGCACGGCGCGCTGAGTCATTTGACACCCCACTCGCATACAGTCTGTATCGGCTATAGAGTGACCGGATATAAGAATATATCGGCTACAGTGATATTGGTACGAAATATCAAAAGCAAAACGTATTTTATCCAGTACAAATATCACTATCACCAATATTATCGGATGTAATGATATATCGGATATTATGATGGCAACAAAGAATCAAAACATGCATAACACACTACATTATTATCGGCTATAGTGATAAACAGAATTTTTTTATGGAAATGCGGGTACTGTCAACTATGCAGCATGCTCATTTGTCAAAACGCCATGCTGGAAGTATTTCCTTGCCTTTCATGTGTCGATCGAAAAAAATCGATCGTATCGCATAGTGATGCATCGGTTATAGTGATAAAATCACGGAAATCAAAAGGGTACGCTATAGCCGATACAGACTGTATTATTGCATGCAGTATCGGTCATAGTAATAATTATATCGCTTATAGTGATAAAATGCTCAAAATCAAACACCAACGATACGATACTGACTGTACTAGTAGTTGTTACATGTATGTCTAACATATTGTAGCTTGTTCGCTATCAGTATCACCAAGGCAAGAGTATGGGGGTTATGGACTCTTGGTATCACTGCAGCAGGAATGTGCAAGACTAGTAGTAGTGTAAGTCACTTAGTGTGTGTGTGTGTGGGGGGGGGGGGGGGTCAAGGTATGAAAGGGGAGGGTTGAGGGCGGTGGCTGTGCAGGTCAAGACTTCTGTTGTCGTGACATTACTTAGTCATTAGTCGACAAAAGTCATTACTCTTCTAAGTCTTCTTCATTTCACATACAGTACCAACTTAGTTTTGGTAGATGTAGTCCAGTTCCAGTCGAGGGTAGCTCGGAGTCCTGGCAAGCAAAAGTAGATCTACTCCTAAAATTGCTACTATCATTATCAATAATACCGGTACATGTACCTGATGTATTTATAGTGCATGGCCGTATTTTGATGAATGGCTGTCTACCGGTATCGCGGTACCGGTACATGTATACATGTACAGCCTAGCCTACAGCTAGCTAGCTTCAGTACACATGGTACAGGTCAGTAGATATGCACGCACACGTCCATAAATGCATAATCATTATAATTATACCCAGCGCTAGCGCATAGCGCTAGCGCGCGCGTGGCCACGCACGTACGTACGCGGCCGGCCATGCATATCGCATGCGCACGCGGTTGACACAAACTAGCACGTACTGGCCTCGTGGTTTACTTGTTGTTATAAGATCTATGAGCTAGTCATTCGAGAGATTATAATCTCCGATCGGCTAGATAGACTAGACGACTCTGCATCTGATCTTACTCCTACTACTAGTAATACCAAGAGTACATAACTACACACTGTGTAGTTATCATGGTTATGTACTCTTGGTAATACTAATCCTTGGCTAGAGCCCTAAGAGTATTCATGGTATTAGAGTAAGATAGAGTAGAACCTGCCTTTTGTAGCTACGTCGTTTTGTAGCAAGCTACAAGACTTGTAAGTAGTAGTTGTAGTTTCGCCTTCAATCTTCATTACTAGTACTGATTTGACATCATGTCAGTGAGTTACCGGTACCAGACTAACAAAACTAGCCGCGTGACTACGAGTAGACCATGGTATGCCGGTAGACTACGACTTCTGAGTCACTTCACCGTTCACGTAGCGCTAGCTAGCCTAGTGCGATTAGCGGCTATTACATGTACATGTGCAGATCCATAATTATTAACGTTATTATCGTCAGTTCCGAACCCCGACTTGAGAGTCAAAATACTCTCCCTTATAATTATGAGCCAGCAATTACATAATGAAAAGCTCAACAAGACTGGAATTCCAAGCCCACTCAACTTCATATTAATTTTGTGCAGCTGCACTGTTGAGCTTCCGATGTAAACAAATACTGAAGTAATAATAACTCCAAGGCCACAAGATGGAAGAGGCAACAATACAATAATGTACTTGACTTGTAGAGTAAAACACTATGAATAATCCCGAGGCTCATGAACGCAGCCATTCTCAGTCTGTGTGAATAGTACTACTGAGTTATTAGGGCTGACATGTCGTCAGTGGGATTGAGTGAAGATCGTCAAAAGTGATCATTGTGATTTTCGCCAACGGCAGTTACATGTATGTCCAAAGGCAAACTGTAAGAGTCTGCAAACTGTTACTTTAGCCAGAAACTTCCACACAGAGCAGACCGGTGTAGTGTAGAGAGGGTCTACTGGGAGTCCAAGACGCCGAATCCTTCTTTGGACTTTAGTATTCGCCTCTGCTGCTTGGCAGTTCGCCCCAGAGAGGGCCAGAGCCCGGCATAGCAGTAGAACTGGTAAAAAGCCACAGACACTAAACAGACGGGAAACACAACTGAAGGCAGTGGTGCCCTCTTCCAGACATCATCTCCCAAACCGACAATCATGTCATATCCATGTAGACACACACACATCGTACGATAGGCAGACTACGATGTACAAGTGTCAAGCGGTGATGGGTGACCGTGGTCCTTGTTGGTGACCTTCTGGCATTATCTGGTCATGTAGATCTAGATCTACACATGGTACATGCACGTGTACGTGTGCGAACTGCATCACGTGCCGAACAGAAGCGAGAAGGACACGATCCCTTCCGACTCATTTTCTCGATTCGAGGTCAGTCCAGACCGGGTCCTTGGTAGAATCTCGGTGCTTTGGTAGTTTTTGTGCCAGCCAGCAAGCAAGTACTGACACTGTAGCTAGCTGTTTGTCAGCATTGCTGTTGCCATCTACTTGCTTCCAATCCAGTGCTGGGAGCGCACATTTCTGTTTGACCTGTCATTTACCGTGGGAGTGTCTGAACCACCAGAAAGACATCACGCAACAACCGTGAAAATAGTCTTGGCAAGGTACAGCACCAGTTTAGTTCGTTGGCTTGTGTGAAGTCGTGAGCAGCAGTTATTGTTGATTTACTTTGCTCCCTTTTCCTCGCGCAGTTTTCAACTAGCAATATTTCGCTCACGCTTTCACCATGGCCACTCACGTATCCTGCTTCAACCCGGGTCCCGCGAAAGTGCCCAAATCTGTAAGTGTTTCAAGTGTTCAGCCTTATCTCGCATAATGCTTTCGATCACACTCACGTTCACTGATTTCAGTTTGACTCCGTAAAGAAGATCCGAATTCAATTAATATATTTATGCACTATCAACTACTGAAGATACTAGTATGTTCTGTAATGTGCTGGAGTTCGAGCTTTTTGTGTTTTATTTTGGCTGGTTGTTCCCAACTACGTTCAGGTTCTGAAGAAGGCCCAAGATGAGTTCACAAACTTTCAAAGCACGGGGATGAGTGTTGTTGGTACGTGGTAAATTGTGACTGCCCCCTACTGTCTTTTCAAGAGTTTGTGATGAGGAATGCAATTGCGCCTTGTTGTGTGGGCAGAGGGTCGCTTGGGTACAAATCTGCGTGTACGCACTGCCATAGGGCCACGTGGTAGAAATGCGACTGAACTCAAATAAAGCATGGCACAAGTAATAACGTTACAATTGTTTGTAGTTTGAACAACTATAAGTGTGTAGCAAGGGCCTGGCTGAATCACGGTGTATTGCTTATCGTGTTGGTCAGACTGAGAAGGATATCAATCATCAGCATGCTTTCATGATGGTCGTTTGGCAATGGTGCAATTGAATTTATTTTAGAAATGCAGCCAGGTGCTTTTACAAACTTTGACAATCCCTTATCAAAGTAGAACATCGGCCTCCCAACAAGAAAATTTAAAGGGGAAGTTAAGGCAAAAATCAAAATTTCACCAGTTGTAGTCTTCGGGGTGCTGAGTCGAATGGTCGTGGTCCGAGGAAGCTGAGACGCTCCCTTCCTACTTGAATCCCAATCGAACTCGCGCACTTCCACCGAAACTGGGTGACTGCGCCCTACTAGATGGGGATTTGTATGCAAAATGTCACTAAAAGCGCCATTTCGTTCTTATAAAAGCACGGATGACCGCGATTGGCCCATATGTTGTAGTCTTTTGGACGCTGAGTCGACTGGTTTTGGTCCGAAAAGGCTGCGATGCGGCGTTCCTCCTTTATTCCCAATCGAACATGGTTGAAGAAGCGGTCACGTGCTCCTGCGTACACCAGTCACCTGGTCACCGTGCCTGCAGGGTACAACTTACTAGCCTGTTTGACCTTTTTTGGGTGCAGTCCTGTCACTCGAGTTGAACTCGAGTTGAACCTTGGTGTGAAAGTTGTCACCTGCTGGCGTGGTGACCAGGTGATTTGGGCACCCAGGACCACGTGACCGCTTCTTCAACCATGTTCGATTGGGAATAAAGGAGGAACGCCGCATCGCAGCCTTTTCGGACCAAAACCAGTCGACTCAGCGTCCAAAAGACTACAACATATGGGCCAATCGCGGTCATCCGTGCTTTTATAAGAACGAAATGGCGCTTTTAGTGACATTTTGCATACAAATCCCCATCTAGTAGGGCGCAGTCACCCAGTTTCGGTGGAAGTGCGCGAGTTCGATTGGGATTCAAGTAGGAAGGGAGCGTCTCAGCTTCCTCGGACCACGACCATTCGACTCAGCACCCCGAAGACTACAACTGGTGAAATTTTAATTTTTGCCTTAACTTCCCCTTTAAACCACCTCAGAAAAATGTCTCCCATTTCGAGGTCCTAAATAAGCCCCCTCCCCTCCCTCCCCACATACACATACAAAAAACAGTTGTCAAAATCTAGTGGAATGGCTGAGGCCATGAGGCCAGCGTGTACACATCACGGTTCATACAGCAAACATCTAATGGCGAATGTGTAGTAGATGTACACGTACTCTGTGCACGAGATGTTCCATTTTCGTCCGGGATAGATCCGTACGCATGGAAATGGCGTGTGCATTGTGGATGCATACACACGGCTGCAAGGCAGCGGCGCGCCGGCACCTGCATGCACGGACTACGTATGCATTTCCTTGGATGTCCAGGGTTCTAGCCATGTCAATAATTATAGTAGGGGGGCGGGCATGGGAAAAAGTTACCCCATGACCCATTTTTCCATTGTCCAAAATTGTCTTGCCATGCAAAATGTAACATACAGGGTGAACCCCGACTTCACCCCTCACAAATGTGCCTTTATGAACCTTGTAGTAGTGACTATCGACTGTATTTTCGTTGAATTGCGTGAAAAAAACACAAAAATCGGAAAATGAGTAGGGGCGGCACTTTTTCACAGGGGGGCACGCAAACGGAGTAGGGGGGCGCTGCGCCCCCCTACCCCCCCCCCCCCCCCCCCTTTGGCTAGAACCCTGATGTCAATGTCCACAACAGTGTACCACACACTGCAGTACAGCAGACCAGCTGGGAAACGGGACCGCTTATCTCTGTCCAGTACGTACATGTAGGTGGGCAGATTTCTGAGGTGTCGCCGTACATGTACCTGCAAAAGCATCATTTTTCCTGGAGCAAGAATACATAACCAAAAGTGTGCAATTCCTGGTGTAACGTGCGATGGGCTCATCCATTACGGAATGAAATATTGCATCATTTTTTGGTAGAAGTATAACTAAGGGCATGTTCGATTGGTTGGATCCGGATCCAGATCGATTGAGTGGATCCTTTGGATCCGCCCAGGTCCAATCTGCCAACGCTGCCCTTGATCAAATCTGGAATTTTAGTGATTTTGAGGGTTTCCAAGAGAAAGCAACGATTTCCGCATCATCGCTTTTATTCCTGCCATTTGTACACGTATCACGTACGGAGTAAGATTTTAGGCAAAAAAGAATCCGTTGGATCCGGTCAACCCTGCTCCCAGAGGTGGGTTGGCTGGATCCAAATCCAAAGGATCCGGATCCGGATTCGACCAATCAAAAGGGTGCGAATCCAGTGGATCCGGTTGATCTGGATCCGGCTCCTATCCTACCAATCGAACATGCCCTAAATGTGTATGTTTTTTGCACTTGTCATGTTTGTGTGCGTGCGTATGTGTGTGCATGTGTGTGTGCGTGTGTGTGTGTGTGTGTATGTGTGTGCGTGTGCGTATGCATGCATATGTCTCAACTACTAATACGTACAGGCGTTTCATTGGCTCGAACGTTGCATGAGTAGGACACCAGTTGGTGTCTCTATGTCCGGCGAATCAGTGGAGTAACATTCTATGCTTGTTGTTGTGCCATTACCCTCTGTAGAGCTCAGTCATCGCAGCAAGGACTATGCAGAGATCAATAGTCAATGCGAGGACAGGCTAAGGAAGATCCTGTAAGAATATCAAAATCGTTCTGTTTTAAGTTTTCTTCCACATTCTGTCAAGTTTGTACATTAAAATGTACCAGAAGGCTGATTGTGAAGGATTGCATGCACGTGATGCTGGTGTAGCTTCTACAGTCCATTTCAAAACTATAGACGCGTACCTAGGCAAAAACCGTTATGCCAGCATCTATACCACATAAAATCTGTGATCACTTTGTGCATAAATTTTTCCAAATTGGGCGTCTGTTATCCAATCCTTTAGAAACTATAATGAGAGTAATTAGTGAGGTTTTGCATTCCGAAATTCGGCAAAAAGATTCGGCACGCCGGAGCGAGGTCGAAAATGCACACGAAGATTCGGCATGTTTGTTCGGAAAAAGCTCACTTTGCCGAAAATATTTTTCGGATGAATTTTCTTGTAGAAGAGCGCTAGCGCTTGATTTATTCAAAGAGGTTTCTTATCTCGGCATCGCTTCGCAGGCGTCTTGGGCGCATCAGCATCGCCAGCTACTTCTGATTGCTCCTCTCCACTGCCTGTCTACTCTCTATCGCCTGGAGTGTGCTCACCGTCATCTGTGTGGCTGAAAAGACTATGGCGATACGCATAAAATTTGACTTGGCCATGGAGTTGGTTTTTCTGAGGCGACTGAGGAGGCAGGTTTGGCCCTCGAGTCTTTGGGCGATCAAAGTTCGTTGGAATCAGCAATAAAGGGAGCACGGGACAGGACGTTGCTGATGCTGGGGCTCACGAAATGAAACCACATCATTTTCGACTTGCAAAACAAACGTTGGTGCGAAAATTCGACATTTTGATGTTTGACAAATGACCGAAGAACGCCGAACCGAAATTCGGAATGCAAAACCTCACTATTGTGGAGCGATCCTGAGCAATATTCCGAAAACTATTCTCAAAAAGTTCCAGCCAAATTTGAAATATTTCGAAAACCCTACGCATCTATAGTTTTGAAATGCACTGTAGATGCGAAGAAAATGGTATTGTCTGTCTCAGCCGGGCCGGGGTTCATTCTTCCTACTGGTTGCGCTTACTGGTGCTAATTTGCTAAATGTGAGCCAAGGTCCCGTCGAGTTCCCTTGGATCATCGGTTTGTTCATGCGTGTGTGTGGCTGTGGTTGTGCCGTTCAGGGATATTCCGAGCAACTACAAGGTGCTGTTCATGCAGGGAGGTGGCACTGGCCAGTTTTCCTGCCTGCCTCTGAACATCCGGCGAGGCGAGTCACCAGTGTTTGACTATATCGTCACGGGCACATGGTCCAGCAAGGCGGCCGCAGAGGCCAAGAAGTATGGCAAGGTCAACATGGTCTTTCCCAAGCCAGAGAAGTTCACCAGTAAGCCTAGCAATAGCAGCATTGAGAAATATTAAAAGACAGCACATGCTTGTTTCCCTCCTTTCATGACTCTTTGTCACTGTCACTGTCTTTGTTCATACCGGTAACACCGATCCAGTTGTATCTCTCTTATTCGGGCGCCGCGGAACCAAAGGGTGTTCGTTTCTCAGAATCTTCTGCAATCCGGAAGTGCCATGCACACTACAGCCATATTAGATATGACGTGTCATTCTTTTCAGCTGGGCTCACCGGCCTCAGATTAATACCATCCACCATATTTGACTACACGTACCTGCTTGCAGGGTACCCGGGTAAGAGAGGTGTCCAGATGTGGGAGGCCCAGGTAAGGCCTCGGTCGCACTATGTCAGAAATGCTGCGTCAGAATCATGAGTTTTTCCATGGCAACTGATGAATAATCCTCAAAAATCCTGAAATGTGAGCGTCAGACGCAAGCCAATCGGCTGCATTGCCGCTGCCGCTGCATGCACTTGCATGAAAAACAGTGTCTTTTGAAAAGAGCGTACCGTACAGTACTCTATCGTAGTGATTTGTTTCGCCACACAGTGGTTTTGTGAAGTGTGTCAGACCCCGACAGTGAAAGTAAAAATGCAGTGTGACTCCACGGCAGGGTCAAGTGCTGGGGTTTGACGCTGCGTCCAGCTTCAAACTTGCAGGAGTGCGACCGAGGCCTTATTAGAGAGGTTATACTGCTGTTGCTCAGCTGATTATATGATAGGGTAACATCTTTTGGTATGAGTTTGGCAAGCTCTGCTGTTCTTGTTTTTGCTTGCTAGGTGTTGCTGATGAGAAAACGTGGAAGCTTGACCCGGAGGCATCGTACGTCTACTACTGCGCAAACGAAACAGTACATGGTATGTTTTGAGTATCTGTGGCATTCTATGCAGTTTTACCCATGCGACGGAGGCGTGAGCTTCTCTACCTCCCTCTGTATCTCTTCTCTCTCTCTCTCTCTCTCTCTCTCTCTCTCTCTCTCTCTCTCTCTCTCTCTCTCTCTCTCTCTCTCTCTCTCTCTCTCTCTCTCTCTCTCTCTCCCTCTTTCTTTCTCTTTCTTTCTTTCTTTCTCCTGTTACTGTATACGCATTGACAATACTGTACGTATGTCACGGCATCTGTATCACTCTATCTTTGTGTCTTTGTGCTAGGTGTCGAGGTCTTAAATCCACCGGACACTGGAAATGTCCCCCTTGTGTGTGACATGTCCTCTAATTTCCTCACGTGCAAGGTCGACGTTTCGAAGGTGCGTGCATGCGGGAGCAATGCTACTACATAGTGTGCTAATTTGGGTCAAGTATTGAGTGCACTTTGTGTAGTGTAGGGGTGTCACCATGCTGTGCTATGACAATGTCGAATCCTGTGGCCCAGACTGGAGGGCAGCAGGTGGGGCCAAGTGGTTTCATTTTAGTTTTTCATGTTCCTTGTCAGAGTTCATTTCCGGTTATTTCTGCTCAGGGACTAATTTATGTATTATGTTAGGCCACACCAAGTTTTTTCATTGTTTCTCGTCACCGCGCGCGTACCTTTCTTGAGGATTGGACCAAAAAAAAATCTCGCGTCCCGGTAAACACGCATAAAAAGGCGTTGTAAAAGTACGCGCGGCGTCAAATCTGGAGTGCAGTGCTAGTGCACGAACCGAAGGACGACTTTTGCACCGTGTATGTACCGGTAGTTCAAGTACCACACCACCACACGACCTGGTCGTCTTCTTTGCTACACACAGTTCCGGTACAAGTCAAGACAGTGCAAGACAGTGCACCGTTTTGGACTGACAGTGTTCCGGGCATCGGTAAACTTGTAAACTGTCACGCGTGGTGTATAGTCTGATTTTAGGTCATAAATTGGGCCTTTGTAGTGTAAATAGCAGTTTTTGTTTTTCAAACCCTATTTTGTTTTTTTTCCGCCCGCCCGCGTTCCTTTTGAGATTTTCAGGTGACGAGAAACAATGAAATAACTTGGTGTGGCCTTACTCAAAATAAAACTTGAATAGCAATTCGAAAATGTTGCATAGCAATATTCTTCAACACTTGACAACACTGTCTTCCTGCAGAGCTGATCAGAGTGCAAGCTCAGGCCACAAGTACACTGTAACACCTTAGTTGCAAACCTAGCCTGGTGCCAGGATGCATAGCTCAGCACTTTCGAAGTTTTATGCATCTTTTTCATCCCTAAGAGACACACCTGGCATGCACACTGTGCGTCATAGGGTACAGTGAAAAATCAACATGCACCGCAGTTTTATGCAACACGTTTCTGAAGTTGCTTTGCCCCTCAGAAGAATTGCGTGGCAAACTGTGATGCGATACCGGTTAAATTATTCCCTGGTGCAGTCGGTATAAATTTGTCAGCTCAGCGAGTGTAGGTGTGAGATGTAGTGTTGTATGGGTCTAAAATTTCAGCAGTGCTTTAATTCTGTAATGAAATGACACAAGAATATTGAAAATTCTTGTTGGAATGCATGAGTTGAAATCTTTATTCTCACAATGATTGTTGTTGTTGTTGTTGTTGTTGACGTCCTCGTCGTTGTTGTTGGCTTGTGTTGTCCACTGCACAGTATGGTGCTATTGTTGCTGGAGCACAGAAGAACTTTGGTGCAGCTGGTGTTACCGTAGTCATCAGTGAGTGGTGCCGTATATGTAGCTGTGTGCCTGGTACCCATTGTTCTGATAGACTGATATGTGTTGTTTGATCCAACCGACAACAGGCTCATACAACTCAGTTTTGGGATATTTATTATTTACATTACAGGAACAATATGATCCATGTGAAACAAGAGAGAAAGAAAACTGCCCGTCCGTCACGGAAGGAACAACAACTAACCAGAAAAGGAAAATATCGAAGGAACAAGTAGCGCAAGCGAAAGCCAAAACGCTCTCGTCAGCAGAACGTGCCCGTACACGTGCGCCTACAAAGCACCCACAGCAGTGCAAACGAAGCCAACGTACTGCACTAATCTTCATGCATCAAATAAGGAATCCAAAAAGCAACCGAAAAAGTAGCCAGATCTGCAGAAGGATCCGCGACTGAGTAGAGTCCGCGTAGGCATGGGACCTCATGACGTCAACCAACCAAAAACACAGAAAAGCCGTGCAAAATAAATCAAAACATAAATAAACCGAACGCAAATTCAAACAGCAAACTAGTAAGCTAACGATAAACTAGTAGCACTGAGACAATTCCACTGTCATAAATTACAACGAAATCACATGCAAGAAGTCCTTTCACTTTGTCCACCGCTCGTTGCGTGACACATGGAGACGATACTGTAGCGCTAATTTGTTGCACGTTGTTTTGGTGATATGTTTCCACTCATTACAAGTTCGAAGTCTTTTTAAACCAATTTTTTGTCCTCTTGGCCTCTTCTATACCATTCAGTTCGTGACGATCTGCTGGACACAGCTCATCCAATGTGTCCTATTGTGATGGAATACAAGGTGAGCTATTCTAGGTCGTGAGCTGTATGTATGGAGCTGCGGGTTGGCGCTGTAAACTTTTCTAGTAGTCCTTGTTTATCTCCGAATCTGTTTTTATTTACGAACTATTCTTCTGCTGTGGATGTGAACTTCTGTGTATCTGAAACCATGGTGTTGTGTTTCTGTTACTATGGACCAGTATGGTTGTTGCATTGTCGTAGGATAGGCTAGATTTAACTTATTTTTGTTGTGTCTGCCTGGTGTCCTTGTCTTTCCGCTCTGTCATGGTAATGGATTGATGCAGACAACTGCAGCGAATAAATCCTGCTACAACACTCCGCCAACATTCTGGTAAGCTGAGCATAGTTCTGTTTATCCTGTGAATCACTGCTCTTATGTTATATACATGGACGGTATAGCACTATAGTGATCATCCATGGCTGCAGGCATGTGGCACGTTTTCTATACATGTACATGTCCTGTGTATATCATGCATTATGAATGTCCGATACTGAAGAAAGGTGATGGGTAAGTTGCGTATATGTTGGACTCAGTAGAGCGTCCGGCCCCTATATGATGTCCAACCCCTATATAGAGTCCATTGGTCCAAAATCCACTGTACAGAGTCCAAACTTGGAATCAACTGTGAGCTCAAAGTTTAGATGGACATCACTCCCTGTATAGAGTCCAGCCAATTGTCTTCACCCCTATATAGAGTCCATTGGTCCAAAATTAACTGTACGGAGTCCAAACTTTGAAATCAACTATAAAGATTAAAGAGTCTTATGTGGACAACACTCCCTGTATAAAGTCCAGCCAATTAGGCATCCCCTATCGAGTTCGAAATTAGACATAGGATCTGCTGTAAGCAGTGAATATTAACCAGAAAACGGCCTCCCCCTTTAATCCTTTGCATCATTCACTTCTCAAGGTAAAAAATATGTATTGAGGCGCCACTGCAGCCACTTCATTACATGAAAAACCCTACAAACACCATCCTCAAATCAAGTGGTCTCTTCGCAGACGCTGTAAATTACAATATCTCAATCATGTAGTGTTGCCAAATAATTGTGCACGCACACACACACATGCACACACCCACACAACGCCAAGAAAATACCTAGAAAAAAACAAGAATCGAAAGAGAATAATGGAGAGCCCGGGATTAATTATTTGTTTTCAAATTATTGCGCGCACACACACACACAAACTTGTACAACGCCAAGAAAACACCAAAAAAAGAGTAGAGACACAATACACGCGCAACTCCAACAGCCATGCAAACGTCCACGCATTTACAAGTAAAGTCAAGAGGGATAACAAATAATTATACGAAACGAATGCATACGTGGGCGGATGCACGCACGTTTACATACATGTAGTAGTGTAAGAGATTAACATAGTGCAGTAGTCGGCATAATACTAGCACATGCTGAGAGTGCAATAGCAAGCTTCGCCATTGCTCATGGCCATGCAAATGTTCAGCAGAACTCAGTTCCGCAAGCTTCTGAAAATCAGCACACCTGGAACAAATAGATAGCACAAGGATACGCTTATTACCGTAATGATGCATGGGAGCACACAACTACCAAGTTCTCAACGAATGTGATGCTCAATGAAAATCAATCCACTCAAAGACCTGTGAACAGGTGACGGTGGGGACAATAATCTATTAGTAATACGAGGAATAAGATCGTTTGTGCACACTCAAGACGCACAGACACACCACCATACATGTAGTGTACACAGTGTTTCACTTCACTGCAACTAAATTGAAATGAGATGATTTGAACAATCTGTACAGCGTTGCCGTCAGTCAGTCTTCCCCAAGATGGAAATGCAATGATTTGTTGTCACGAGGCAGTTTCACTGACACAATGTCATGTTCGTGACATCAAAACGGTTACTTCAGGGAATACGAGTATTAGCTTGAGAAGCTTTTTCTTGTCATTGGCATACACGCAATCCTCCTACTACTACTAGTACACTGGCACTGCGTTTGTGGATCCCATTGTATTTGACATCATACTAGAGGAAGAGTGTCGTGGAGTTTCACATAATTATCACAGGGATAAAAATACATTTCTCATGAAATAATTATTATAATTGATGATAGCTAGACGATCGTATACGATTGATGCAAAGTCCTTGCAGTCCTTGAGGACTATTACGAAGTGGTTGATTACTTTTAGGGCATTCATTCAAGCAACATCAAACAAACGCGATACGCTCCTTGAAAATGGAAAAAAATTCAAGCATAACGACAGAACAGCAGACCAATCGAAACGAGTAAAAGCTTCCTTACCTCAGTCATCGTCCTGCCATGTAGTTGGACAGCCTTTTGACACGGTGGTACAGGCAGCTCTTGTCCAGTCAAACAAGGGTATCCTTGTGGCGTCGAACGAAAGAGAGTGTCAGTGTATCTGACTCGTCAGATTGGAACTGTGCTGAACTTTTCTCTTTCTCCGCTTTCTGCTTTCATCCCTCGCTCTGATGAAACCGTTCAAACGTCTTCAGACTGGCAGCAATGGCCAGCCAAACAGGGGATCCTTGTGGCGTCGATCGAAAGAGAGTGTCAGTGTACCTGACTCGTCAGATTTGAACTGTGCTGAACTTTTCTCGTTCTGCAATTTCTGCTTTCATCCCGCGCACTGATGAAACGTCTTCAGAGAACCACAAGACGCTTTCCAGATTTGATTTTGAACGTCTCCTTATCCTCCTTGGTTACCTCGTGACAGATTACTGTCAGCAACTTCACAGCAGAACTGGCAGCCATGGCTGAAGTGAAGAAAGGAATGCGCTGCCACCAGGCAAGCAAAACTGAAAATGTGTTTGTTCTTTTTCGGGCACAAGACACAGTCACAGGACGGCGTGACTGGATAAACTGGACTCCTGGACTGTGAATAGGGGACTGGTAGAAAAAGTGTACTCCTTATAGGGGATTGCGCGGCAGGTTGAAGCTGATCAAAACTGAGTGGACTCGTGGACTCTGTATAGTGGATTTTGGACCAATGGACTCTATATAGGGTGCTGGACATCATATAGTGCATGGACTCTATACTGAGTCCTACATATATATTGTATCACTTTCACATAGCAACTACTTGGTAATAATCTCTGAGATTTTAAAGGGTGGAATACGTTCTTGAGCACCGGTATGTTGGCCAACACACCTTGCTATGTTTTATTCGTGTGTATGATTGTGTTCTCTTGTAGTATTTACCTGATCGGCCTGGTATTTGAGTGGATTCTGGAGCAGGGCGGTGTTGAGGGTAGGTTTGCCATTGGTTGTGGTTTGTTTGCTTCATGACCCATGCAGCGATGATCCATACCAGAAGTCTGTGTTGTTCTGTTAGCTTCTGTCGAAACTACGGATCTTGACCTATGCTTTTCCTCTGTGGTCTTCAAAACAAGTCTACTGTAAATCAATTATATTACTAAAAAAATTCCCACTTATTCTGCAGTACTGCGTGCATGTACGTAGTCGCGCAATGGTTTATGAAAGTTCAATGAATACAAAATGTTCTTTTCTCAGTTTACAAATATACTTTAATAGCACGTCTAGTACCTCTAATATAAGCGTGGGATCGCGCTTCTTCATTTCATTCTGTGTTTATAACTGTGCTTTCAAATTAGTTCTAGCCATTCATTATTCTAAACCTTCACTTACGAGACCTTGCAATGGTCGAAAACAGCGCTGTATGGAGGACATATTTTGTCAGTATCTACAACTGGGAGTCGTGTTGCTTGTTTGGTCGGCCAGAGAGCGCATGTGGAGGTGGAATTGCTTTAGTTTACAAATTTTAATACGATTCGCTTATGAAATAATTATAATTGATTTACAGTAGCTAGCAGCATGTGCGAGTGTAGTCTGTTGTGGGGTGATAGCATCTTCGCAGCAGTTTGGCGATTAGCTGTACTTGCACAGTGTACTGTAGTTAGTACATGTACTATTTGCTATGACCGTACAACCTGTGTGCACATCTGCAGTTCTGCAACTTACTGGCCCTTCTGTGCCTTTTCTGCCTTGTCTTCTTGTGTTGTTAGCCATGGAGAAGTGCTCCGCAGCCAAGTCAAAACAAGTATACGATCTCATTGACAAGTCGAATTTCTACTGGTGGGTACTATGCTGTCCTGTTGCCACCAGCGCAGCTTTGTGGATGGCATAGATTTACACTTTCGGTTATGTGTCATTTTAGTGGATATATAGGAAGATTATGGCTTACAATCAAATCAGTATTATGATGAGGCTGAATCTTTCCAGTTATGCCTTTCCTCAGTTCTGTCCTCCTGTGATGCTGCTGCCACTGCTTACACTCATGGGTGTGCTTTTTGTGTTTGTCAATTGAAATGCGCTCTGCAGGAGTCCCGTTGACCCAAAGTATCGTTCTCGTGTCAACATCCCCATCCTCTTGGGCAGCCCGTCTGGCAACGCGGATATTGAAAATCTGTTTGTGCAGAAGGCCACGGAAGCGGGTCTCATTGGCCTGAAGGGACACAGGTATATTCTATGCCTTGCTTTCCGTCTGTCATCGACTGTGCATTGTTTGGCAATGCCTGAAATAGTATAGCATGTGAAGTTGTGCTGGCACACGCCCAGTTCATTGGGCGTGACATTCGGTATGGTTATGTGGTGACACGTCCCCAGGAAGACATGATTCAAAGCACACCTCGATAGGTCATGGCCATTGTTGACCGCTTTAGGAGCTGCATCTGCGCCTTGATCCTTGAAGGGTGGTGGGGTTCCTACGGATGCGGAGCACTCGGCCTCTAGCCGAGTCTCACGCGAACTGTCATTTTTTTAAAATAATTGTTGACTGTTGTGTGATGTGCTTACCAAGACTTTGTGGCAGTGATCAGCAGGAACAGAATAACTTGCCTTTTAAACATATACGTTGGCTTCGCCCTACAGCTGTTAGCGATGTCATGAATGGTTACAACTTACAACGTTTACATGTAACGTGACTTCTCGTTTTATGTTCTCTTCAGATCTGTCGGCGGCTTGCGTGCATCACTGTACAATGCAGTATCTGAGGAGGACACGGATCGTCTTGTGAAGTTTATGATTCAATTTGAAAAGGAGTCTGCGAACTGAAGAGATCTTTTAAAAGTATAAAACCACCTTTATCTATTTTGTTGCGGTGTCGTCATCTTTTATTAATATAATATTATATCCCACGTTGTTGCGGTTGTAATGTAGTGGCTAGTCTGATCTCACCTTTGTTATACTACTTCCACAGGTGATGGCAGTTTAAGCTGGCGTGTTCGCTGCTCGTGTGTTCTTGTATGGCATTAGCTACCTGTCGTCGTCTTCTTCATCCAAATCTGTTGAACAGAGAGCTTTTTTTTAACCGTTGCCAAGTGGCTTGTCTCGTTAGGACAGTTACTCCTCATGGCAATTATTGTACATGTATTCGGCGGAATAGCGCGAGCTCCAGTGTGGAGCAAACCCTTTCGTATCCACTTTATTACCATTATCCACTTTGTTTTCATGCTCCAGACAGCCTGGCGCTGTCTGTATTACATTGTGTCGGAATTGCGACCTAGTTCAAGCTCATATTCTTATTTGGCAAGATCATGTCTTCTTTCCCCCTGCTTGTTTTGTTTTGTTTCCTCCGCTTTCAAGAGCCTGTCAGAGGCGCGTCAGTTTCACTATTCTGCTCATTTGCAACATGGGTTTTTTATCTTTCCACTGCCGACAAGAGTGCTGGGTGTGTATAGCGTATCTTTTGGTCTTGTGGTATGCTTTATGGCAGCTATTTGCACGCACATATTTTGGAGACGGTGTGTAATGCCATGTACATGTACTTAATCCCTTTGCTTTGTGAGCGGCAATACGACAATATCGCACGGGTCGACATGTACGCACCTTCTGTCCTGAGATGACGGTTGAGGTTGACCAGTGGTGGCTTTCCCCGGATACTCTAGCCAGTCTGTCGCTAAAATCTCATCTCAAAGAAACTCGGCCTTCCGAAGCACGGACACAGGCACAGGGCTGGGCTTAGGCCATTGGGGGGGGGGGGGGCTGGTGATGTCAGGAACTGGGACAGTGGGAGCCATGAAAAGACAATTTTTTCCATTCAATGATCTATGACACTGCACCAATCACCATGTCCATGGCATGCAGTGCGTACCAGGTGGAATCAGTATTCAACACAATGAAATACGATCATGCCTTGCCTGTCGGTACACTACAAGAGTCCATGGACTTTATGGACTTGATTGTACATATCAGACAACCAACCACTGAACCATGTGAACCAGGCATTGCAACAACGAGTGGACATGAACAACCACACTCCACAGCAGTGAACAGCACTGCAATGATGTCAAGAGTACATAACCATGATAAACCCCACTCACTCGTAGCTACTCTTGATGATGTGCATCATGATGTGACTTTTTTGTTGATGAACGAATTCGCGAACTCGAGTGAAGGTGACGTAGCCGCGACGTCATGCTTATGGATCGTCTGACTCATTATCTCGAATCATCTGTCTGGAAATGGAATAATTCACTTTGTTGTTTTCGAAAATAACACAAGACTGGTGGCATATCGTCACTATTATCGTGGTATCTTTTCTGTTCCAAATTGGAAAAATGGGGATCATGGACGTAACAACCGTTGATCAGTTCAACGATGTCACATCCAGCTCGTAAGTTACGATGCCTGTTGCTTGAATTGTTCATGCTCAGTCTCAAACATAGTGTGGATTTTGATCTCATCTCCCCTGCCTTGCATGTCCAATCCACAGGAAATTGACTGTGGTGCATTTCTGGGCACCATGGTCTCAGCCATCTGTGGATATGAACAATGTATTGGAGACGTTGAATCCAGAATATCCAGATGTACAGTTTGTGAAGGTAGGATCGTAGTTATGTACAGTCCTATCAAAACCTGTTGTATGCTACTCATCAGTACAAAGAAATCTACAAGCATAATATTGGTATTAGATAAACCTTCCCACTCTTACTTAGATAAGCCTTGTTTGTTCAAACATGTTGTTGATTGACAGCATGTAACAAGGTGGAGGACACCGTGTTCGAACACGGTGTCCTCCACCTTGTTACATGCTGTCAACCAACAACAAGAATAATATTGTGTAAACACAGCAGTCCATGCACTAAAGTCTGGTACTGGTAGCGGTAGCGGCATGTTCTTAAAAACAGAAGCCTTTTCATCCGTCATGACCGGACCGAGAGGGTCGGCATAAGCCTGCGTTGCAAGCAACACCCCAGGGCCGCCAGGAAGTGCGAGCGCTCCCAATTCATTTCCAGACGCTGCCATGCCGCGTCTGAGCCCGTGCAACTCTTTCCAGCGCTGGCTTATACGGTACCCACGAATGTTCCCGCCAAATGACCTTAGACCTGTATTTAGTACAGTGCTGCAAACCCGCAAACCTTTGCGATGTGGAATACTTCACGGTTTTCGCGATGGGTGTGAAATCGCAGCACAAGTAAGCCAGTGCAAAACATAAAACTGTAGTAAATATACTGAGGAAATTGACTCCAATCGAAAACATCTCCAGGTGCAAGTTTGTCTGTGCTCGCAAACCGCGAACTAAAACTGGTGCAAACGTTTCTGGGTTTGCAGTACTTGCCGCCTGTCCAGTCCACCCCAGTGCAGTGTTCGTGACCTTGCGAGTGTTCACCGCATGACCACTGGTACCTCGACTGCAACTTACAATCGAGCATGGCTTACTACTGAAGTGAACACTAGTATATGGACACAAGACGACATGGACCTAGAAATGGGGGTGCGACTTACAATCGGGGAATACGGTAAGTCTCCTCAGTGGAGATCAAAATAGTTTAGTATGCATTTTGCAAGTTCCCAAACATGCCCTTCAACCCTAGTTTATAATCACGGTCGCTAATTCTGCTAGTGGAGTTGGTGTTGGTGGTTCTTGTTGTAGATCACAGTACACAATGGGTATCAGTTGTTCTTTATTATATTACAGATAGTTCCATTGCATTACACTTCTGTAACATTTCTCGAGACAAACACAACTGGACGAGAAGAACCATCTGGATAGACGTTTAGTTAGCTAGCACCAATACCACGCGGGGATGCATTACATTCCACAATCACCGGCAGTGAGACGTCATAATGTACAGTAATCGGATGGGCTGCTAAACATTGAGACAAATGCACTCTCACATTCTGCGGACCATAGAAGTTCAATATCTCTCTGCAACGAATGACTCAGAGGGTGCAGCATGGTAGAACAGTTGGGAATGAAACAATCGTAAACGTTCACTAGACCTAAGAACGGGCGCGGAGAACTTGCATCAGATGGCTGGGGTGCGTTGCCGATAGCGTCAATCTTGCTGTCATCGGGCTTCAGGCCGGCTTGCGAGACGATGAAGCCCAGATAGTTGACTTCATTGCGGCGAAGCATGCACTTGTCTCGGCCATGGCGAAAACCTGCTGCCGCGAAGCGCTTGAGGACTTCCCAGAGGTGCTGGTCGTGTTCCTGTGCATTGCAACCACACAGTATCATCAAAGTATACAACTACTCCGGGGATGCCTTGGAGGATCTGCTCGATGGTACGTTGCCAGATGGCGGGAGCGCTGCTGACTCCGAAAGGCAAGCGGGTGTACGCGCACAGTCCTCGGTGTGTTGCAATCACACATCACTTCTTGCTGGCGTCGTCTAACTTGAGCTGCGCATATGCCTGACTGAGGTCGAGCTTGGAGAAGATCTTGCCACCAGCGAATTGGCCGAGAAGATCTGTCGGATTCGTTATCGGATGCTGGTTGGCCTGATGTGTTGTTCAACGTCACCTTGAAATCTGCACACAGACGAATGGTGTCGTTCGTCTTGCAAACTACAGCGACAGGGGAGGCCCAATGGGTCTGTTCTACTGGTTCGATGATGCCTTCGCGTTCTCATCGATCCAACTCAGCGTCCACTTTCTCGCGCATGGCATAGGGAGCTGGTCGTGCAGAGCAGCATTTCGGTTGCGGTTCACCCTGAAGGCGGATGGATGCTGTGTGTCCATGACGGTGCCTAAACCTGCCTCCAACACCGACGGATACTCTGGCAGCACATCAGAACATGCATGTATGGAACCAAACAATTCTGCCCTGTTCAGCTTCACTTCACTCAACCAGTTACGACCAACAGGGGACGATTCCCTCCCTCGGCAATGATAAGACGCTGCTGGCAGCGCTGTGACTCATACGCTGCTTCTACAACTGCGTCACCGACGACGGGTAGAGGGGTACCCCCCCCCCCCCCGAATGCGAATGAAGAGACACTAGAGGGCTGGAGGGGGAATATCCGACCATGACTTCTGGCATAATGACATGGGCATAGTGGACAGCTGGGTCCCCGTATCAACTTTCATGCGGCATGGGTTGCCGCACAACCCATGCCGCATGAATACTGGTATGCTGATGGCCTTGTTACCTACAGCTCTCTATCCCTGCTGGCTTCTTTCTCTTTTCTTGGCGCATGCTCCACGTCTTGGGCCATTCAAATTAGGACTGCTTCACAAACGGGTTGTCATTGTGTGAGTGTTAAGACGATAGGTTTGATCTCGTGCGGGCAATATATAATAGTTCTCCTGTTGCTGGTGTTTCTTGTTGTGTACTACAGGTGCAGGCAGAAGAGCTGCCAGATATTAGTATGCGTTGTGAAGTGTCTGCTGTTCCGACCTTCGTCTTCTTCAGGGTAGGTCTAACACTGCAGTGTTGTATGCGTGTTCTGCCATGGTTCCTATGTGGCCCCACTGCAGTGCAGTCTGGGTGCACTCTCATGGTTCCTATGTGACCTCACTGCAGCGCAGTCTGCGTGTATTCTCATGGTCCCTATGTGACCTCACTGCAGCGCAGTCTGCGTGTATTCTCATGGTCCCTATGTGACCTCACTGCAGTGCAGTCAAGTGTCTTGCTGTGTTTATGCTACCGTCCTGGCCAGAGATATTCGATCTCCTGAATTAAGTAACGCCGGGCGCCACGCAGCCCTAGCACTGCACGCACACACACACACACACACGCGCGCGCGCGCGCGCGCAGACACACACACACACACACACACACACACACTACCCTCCACACTTGAGTGTGGCGCTACTGAATTCAGGAGGTTGAATTTATCTGTCCAGAACTGTAGTAGTCGATGAGTCATGCATACAATACAAGGTGGTGGTGGTGGTGGTGGTGGCATGTGCATCATCAGTTCAGTGTTGAGCATTGTACTCTGCTCTGGTATCTCTGTCTCTGCTGTGATACGGTGCTGAGCATTGTACTCTGCTCTGGTATCTCTGTCTCTGCTGTGATACGGTGCTGAGCATTGTACTCTGCTCTGGTATCTCTGTCTCTGCTGTGATACGGTGCTGAACATTGTACT